TTGGGGAAGCATGCTGACATGACATTTCCGATCACTTCAAGCACCTACATCACGGGCATGACGTCATCACAAAGGACTTCGGGAATCCAAATCGTTTCATATCATTTCACTCTAAGAAACGCGAGACTATCTGTATATGGTCAAAATCAAGGAGCCCGATTTCGAAGTCTTAAATTGGGCTATGAGTCCGAGTCTGGGCAACTCGAAGTGGGGGTCGGACCCCGCTGAAGGACACATACCTCGAGGGAGCAGATCGAAGGCCTGGCACGACCTACATCGAGGGCAGTACAATCTCGAAGACACTCAAGAAAGAGCAGGAATTTCTCAAAGACACGTGGATCAGGGCATAAATTAAAGGATAAGATTTGTATGAAATGGTACAGGTCCGTACTGGGTTGTTATACACCTGTACCAATAGAATTCTTTACCACAATTAGGAATGTACTATATCGGGGTTTTCTCCTCCTATATAAAGGGGACCCCAATCATTTGTAAAAGACACATTATTCACTGCAATAGAATATTATACTCTACTTTTCTTTTTTACCGTGCTCAACAGTTATTCTTCAGCTTGTTTTTACTTCATTATTCATACTTCATTGCTCTTAGCTCACCTCGAGGCCCTCAAGAAAATTGAGCTCGAGCTCCTTATTGCTCTAGCAACATTGGTTTGGTTCATCAATTTTTCTTACCTAAACCTAATATTACTTGTATATTCACTAGTATTGGAATAAATCACAAATCATATTTAATTGTCACACATTTTTCAGAGGTAAACAGATCTATATCAGCTCTTACACTTATATTGTAGCAAAGGATGAAGTTTTTGTTTGGATATATATAGTAAGGACTTATTCTGTAGCTGGGGTGCCAGACATCCATATTGCTCTACAGCCTAAATCATCAATACATTCCACTAACAATAATTTATTCAATAAAAATGTACTGAAACTGTTCAAAATATTTAATAGTTATTTTGATTCTTATCTATGTCAAGTCCATTTATCTGGGGATAACATAATCTTAGTTGGTTAACACAAAATATAGTAACAACCTTAAATATCACGAGCCAACTTGTCATTTTATATTTTTAAAACGTTCTACAAAGAAATGGTAAAAATCAAATTATTACGTCGATAAGCTCTTGAGGTTTCTCTTTTCATATTCTTTTATCTTTTTTTAATTTACTACCAGATTGTTGTGTAAAGTTGTCTTTTAATACTAAAAAATATTATATATAAAAACTTGTTCGGTTAAGTTTTCTAGATTTTTTTTTTTAAAAAAAATTCAGCCGAAACTTTATGCAAAATAAATTGAAAATCTACAACTATTTGAACATATATTTTGATTCTGCGCAAATTTTTCCAACAAGTTTGGCAAAGATAATATAATAATGAAGAGAAAACAGGAAAAGCAAAAAATAGAAAAGAAAAAGAAAAAGTAGGTGTAAATCATAAAACTAAAGAATTTAAGTTATATACATTAATGGTGTTAAAGAAATTTTTTCGCTATTAGTTCAGTTTAATCGGCTATAGCATATTGACAGCGGGTTTACTGTGAAGAGTTACATGTTGTTCTAGGTAAATTTAACTTTGATTGTATTAAAAAATCTATATACTAAAAAATTAATAAATAGTCCCAGATCGCAAATTACAGATAGTTTCATATCCTTGAAGGCATCATACAAGTAGGAATTTATCTAAGAATACTTTTAACCTAATTCCTGGAAGAAACCAATGGTTGAGTAGTCCTGAACTAGTTGCTGCACTTAGACATAATACCCAATCGAAAATGACTCGAGTGCATCGTTATATTTCTTCAAGATTTGATTTTAGGGATAACCTTGATTATCACCGTCTTTAATTTTATTTAGTATGTATTATTAAGCATTAACCAGTAAGAAAAGACGCAAAAGAGGAAAATTTGAGTGAAACTTACTCTTAATTACCTACTCCTTAATTTATTTATTTATTTATTTTCTGAAAGTACTGAAAGCAAAACATTGTTAGTATATATAATACATCATGATCAACTTGTTGCTACTACTTGATTCTTCATCTTTATCAGTTGGTTTGGCACATGAAAGACACATTGGTAGCTGATGCTTTCTCGAGCAGCTGAGATTGCATTCAGGTTTTTCTATATATACATGCTTCATTTATAAATCATAGGAGTACAATTCTAGTATATTTTTTTCTTTTCATACGACCGAATCTTTACAGAATATCAACTCTGATTAAATAATTAATTAAAACTTGCTTCTATTTGTAACATGATCAATTCAAGAAAGGACTCGGATTTTTACAAGATTTGAGGATTAGATATGTTTGAGATCCCTGATTTATTAAGTAAAAGTGATCCCCGTCAAATTTATTGCCAATGAGATTTTGATTTTATGTATAAATAATTGAAGATCATCTTTTTTATGTGAGCAAATAAGGGGAATTACCTTCACTCAACCATTCAGTCAATTCTATCCATATCTTCTGCCCAGAATTTTCGTTTCTATACTCTGATCGTAGAGTATTCCTTATTGAGTACATTGTCATAAAAAATAAGATGACACTTAGAAAAATCGGATCACAATTAGCTGTACAAGTGGTTCCGAGCAGAGGATGTTTTGAAGGAAAAAGTAATTAGTATAATCCAATATGTATGGTAAGATTTTAAGTCGTATCAAAACAAGTTTCTAGCTCGAAATAAGATGCTAGAGATCTCTCTTTAATAATATAATATATACTAACTAAGATGGTCCAAAATTAATAATGTCCATCTCTAAACATTGCAGCTTGAGTTATTTGTAAAGAATTTTTCTATTAACGGTAGTGAAAAATCAAATCAAATAAGAAGTGAATCATGTAATAACTCAATAATTTGACCAAAATATCAGTATGCATGTTAGGTGCTAGTTGGTATAAATAATAATCAAACACCGATAATTCATTATTAAAAGGTAATGACATTTTTGCCGGTTAAAAGTTCAAATTATCTTAATAAACTAAGTTTAATCAGATACTTGCACAAGAGAATACCGAATATTCGACAAAAAGTTGATATAATTCCAAATTTTCCTCCACGGTTATGTCACTTATGCCTGAGTCTCTTCCACCTTAGTCCACTACATGCAGTGGATCTCTACTGACCAATTAGATTTATCCACGTACATATTTAAATGGAAGGTAGGCAACAAAACCTTGAGCTCTAACTGCCTCACGTAAAGAGACAGGGTGACCTTACGCTTAGCTGGAATACCATAAGGGTGTGAGTAGTTAAGCTGTTGACTGGTTGCCACGTGTTTATGCCGGAGTGGATTCGATCGTAATTTTAATTTGATGGGTCAATTTTTAGGTTTTTATATTTAAGCTCATTACACTTTAAATTTGGGGTTCAAAATCTAAAATGGCAAAATGCAAATCACTAGCTTTTTGCAATCACTAGGTTCAGGTAAATCAAGTACTTTTTTTAAATATATATTCAGTACTTATATTCTACATCCGCTATTACCTTTGTGCCACTTCCTACACCCCTTCCACAAGAAGGAAGAAGAGGGAAAAAATAGAAAAATAAGATACCAGGGGCGAAAATTAATCACATTCTAGTGGTTTCAATAATTTCATAAATAACGGGAAATCTTGTCCAAGATTCTCGCATTTCTTCCTTCCCTTCCCCTAGTCACTAACTCACTATAAGTATTCGTTGATTGAATTGAAAGTTAAACTATTTGAAGGTGGTACAACGATGTCTCTCGTCTGTATTGACGATCTTCTTAACTCAAAATTATAAAAGGTAGAATATCGGTGTACCTAAAATTCACAACATAGTACTTAGGGGTGTACAAACCGAACCGGAAAATCGCACCAAACCGATTAAAAAAACCAATTAGGTTTGGTTTGATTTGGTTTGATATTAAGTAAAAAAAAACCCGAACCAAACCGACATATAAATATATAATTTTTATATATATTTTTAACACTTTTTATAGAATTTTCTCTAAAAAAAGTCTAGAAATATTTGCAATTCTCTTATGGGAAGTAATATTTAGTTAAATATGAAGTACTTCATATTTATTAACTTTAAATAATGAGTTGTATGATCACTTTCTTATCAAGTGTTAGTGAAATGCGTCAATCTCTTTGTTCTTCCATATTTATATGTCAAGATATATTAAATTCTTATATCTTTTTCTAGTTTGAAATGGTATTTCGATAATTTAAAATTAAATAGAACATATCATTATATCGGTTCATATTTATTTTTATGTTTAATTATTAAATTCGGTTAACCTTGAAAGTGTACATCAGCGTAAATTATTGTTAGATGGCTAAAAAATAACTATCATGTGTTACTAAGAAAATTCTCTCATACGAATGTTTTAATAGATCATATATTTTTTATTTTTAAAATTTTTAATAAACAGTATTTACTTATAAAAAATTTATCAAAGTAAGATTGAAATAATATTACATAGCAAAAAAACCCCGAAAAATCCGACAAAACCGAACCAATCCAAATCGATATATTTGGTTTGATTTAATTTTAATAAAAATCGAACCAACTCGGTCCATGTACAACCCTAATAATACTCCATAGTTTGATCAAAGCAAACAACTTAACTTTTTTTACTTAACTAAATATTCAAAATTATCACTGGTTTGACTAATTCTAATCTGTGTCACGGAGTGTCACTTAAAGAGAAAATACAATTTGTCAAGAGCTTTTTTATTTTCGAAGCTCTTTAATTATGGATGACGCATACATCAATTTAACGCATGATATTTCTCTGTGTCCCATCAATCTCTCTACCTTCGTCTTGTGTTCTGAGATTGTCAGTACGATCCCCAAACTCGTGAGGATTATCAATGGGACCCATCGCAAAAGGAAATAAGAAATAAAACTTAAAAAAATTTGGAAAAAGAAAACAGGCAGTACTCCACCTCCTCTTGGCCCTCTATATATAGATAGGCATGCATCCCCAAAGACCCAATTCATAAGAAACCAAAACCACTTTCTCATTGCATCATCACCTCGATCTTTCTAAAAGAATCTCCACATTATAAATAGACTCATTTCCATTAGCACAAAATAAAATTATGGGTAATGCTCACTTTGATGATCAATATTCACATCAAAAGGTAGAAATCCCAGCACCAAAGCCATTCTTGAAGACACTCAAATCTTGTGTGAAAGAAACACTATTTCCTGATGACCCCTTTAGGAAATTCAAGAACCAGTCACTTACCAAGAAACTTGCTTTGGGTTTGCAGTATTTTGTCCCCATCCTCGATTGGGCTCCTCGCTATACGTTTCAACTTTTCAAAGCTGATTTTATTGCTGGAATCACAATTGCTAGTCTTGCTGTTCCTCAAGGGATAAGCTATGCTGGTTTGGCTAACTTGCCTCCAGTTATTGGACTTTGTAAGTTACTATTTATATAAATATACATGAATTAATCCATCAAATATCTTTGAAATATACTCGAAATCATGCATCTAGCTTTGGACATGGAACTAGTACATACACAAGGCTAGCCTCTTTCCAACTAACTCTAGTCTTTAAAATATACTATATGAATTTGACTTTTATGCACCTGCAATGTCAAGCAAATTAGGCAGATAACTCCTGCAGGTCTAGGTAAAAAAAATTATATCGTATCAGTATATTTTACAAGTTAAACACTTAAAATATACATAACTATAATTGTGATTATAAAGGTATTACGTGTCTTGATATGTAAGTTACAAATGATACGTACGTCGAGTCCATAGCCTGAGCGCACGTACATGGCACAATAAAGTTACTAGTCCAGATTTAGTTAAATAGAAGTTTTCATTGTGGTTGATCTGATAAATATATTTTGGAAATGCAGATTCAAGCTTTGTGCCACCGATGGTATATGCGATGTTGGGAAGTTCGAAGCATTTGGCAATAGGGAATGTGGCAGTTCCATCGCTTCTCATTTCTGCAATGCTTGGCCGAGTCGTTAATCCTCACGATAATCCCAAGCTTTATCTTCAGTTGGTATTTACTGCTACTTTCTTTGCTGGAGTTTTCCAAGCTTCCTTAGGCTTGTTAAGGTCAGAAGTCTTCATTTTTTTCGTTAGATTTAGTGTCGAGTCAAATTGCAACGGCAGTAGACCTAATTAATTTGTATTTTATCTGATGGTGATATAGGCTAGGATTCATAGTGGACTTTCTATCGCATGCAACAATATTAGGGTTCATGGGAGGAGCAGCCACAGTAGTGTGCTTACAGCAGCTGAAAGGAATTCTTGGACTTGTTCATTTCACCCATGAAACTGATATTGTCAGTGTCATGCGCTCCATCTTTAGCCAATTACACCAGGTTCCTTCACTATCTCATTTTATTTTTTAAATCTTTTTTCTCAAAATAATAAGTTATACTTAGCCTCCAATATTTTACGTACGGTCTTTTCTTTTTCTTTCTTATACGTTTTTGTTAATTATTTGCTACAGTGGAGATGGGAAAGTGGAGTCCTAGGTTGTTGTTTTCTCTTCTTCCTCTTGTTGACCAGATATTTTGTAAGTAAATTAATTAATTTTAAATTTATACTCGCTTTCGGCAGATTTGTTACATATTTATAGTTTATAAATAAATATGTCACTATTGTGTTATATCCGTAAATTAATCATGATACTATCCATTAAGCATGTGATACAATTGTAGACTTCCTTCACCTTAAGATTAACTCATACTCGTGTATAACATATTTCTAATGATTCCTAGAATTGTTTTCACCATATTTCAATTGCTAATAACCTCATTAATTATTTCATACCATTATCTTCAGTTCAAGTTCACTGTATTAATTTACTAATGGACTTGTTTATTTATTGTGTGGTGTAATTCCTATACCAGAGCAAAAAGAAGCCAGCTTTCTTCTGGATAAGTTGTATGGCGCCTCTAACATCTGTGATCTTGGGAAGTGTTCTTGTTTATTTCACCCATGCTGAAAAAAATGGGGTTCAAGTGGTAATTAATTTCTCCACAGTCGAAATTAAATTTATATCTTTATATTTCACTGCCAAATTTTATTTTTTATTTCTATACATGATGTGAATATAATTTATGGTGAGTGACCAGTGACGTCCACATGTTGGTCCCTTAGTATGATATCGATTAACTTTTTCTAGCGATGTTTGTATTAATTATAAGACAGTACGTACATGCGGCTAACCTGTGAATATGTTTGGACTTTTGTTGGATTTAATTTTCTCAGATTGGGCACTTGAAAAAAGGGATAAATCCACCATCGTATTCTGAACTGGCATTTAGCTCGCAGTATCTTACAACTGCCATTAAGACTGGAATCGTCACTGGTGTCATCGCCATGGCTGTAAGTACAATATGTCTCCAATTGTTAATTTATTTTTATTTACTTTTTATCTGTCATACTAATTCGGATTCGGTCTTAGACTTTCTGATTTATATAAGATTCTCATGACCTCATTCTATAGTCTGGAAGATACTTGGGTCAAAAAGGTTAGAAAAGAAAAAAAATAGACGGGAATAAATGTTCATAAATTATGCTTGAAGAAACTAATTAAAATAGTGATATACTTCTTGTCTCTTTGTCATTTTATCGTACACACGGCAATATATTGGTGACTAGCTCATAGACTACAACTAGCAGCTTTTAGTTAAAGAATTAACTATATTCATAAATTTATTCTTACATTATTGATGTACATAAGTTAAACTCTTTAAATTCCTCTTTGTGCTTTTTTTGATTCTGAATTTTATATAAATGTGGTATATNTTTGGGATGATGAACATTGCTGGTTCTTGCACCTCTTGCTACTTAACCACAGGTACTCTTTCACTCAAAACTAACATCTCTCAGTCCACTCAATTACTTAAATTAAAATTAGTTGGTGAATGTATAGTATATGTATAATTTATATTAATATATGTGTTATTAGTGTATAATCTAATTATACCGGCTAGAAAAAGTGACACTGAAACTAAACAGCTATTTGTGTAAAGATCCCATTTTTTTTCCTTCAAGTTTCTAGAGATGGGAGTGAACAATTGAAAACATAATTAAGTAAATAAGAATTTGCTTTTTAGTAGGTTAAGTTTGTAAATGAGATGGTCATATAATTCAACATAATCATGAGTTCTCGTCTCACCACCACACATTACGAGAATTTTCACGAAAAAAGAATTAGGCTCACAACTAGGGGGTGTGCTGAACACATTCTTTAATTTAGTTGTCTGTTTGCGTAATTTTTCTTCTAATATTAACATCTTTTTTTTCCTTTTTCAGGACCATTTTCACGTACGGCAGTGAATTTCAATGCAGGATGCAAGACAGCAGTGTCCAACATAGTAATGGCAACAGCAGTGATGATAACATTGTTGTTGCTAACACCATTGTTCCATTACACACCCCTTGTTGTGCTTTCCTCCATTATAATTTCAGCCATGCTAGGCATCATTGACTATAATGCTGCTATCCACCTTTGGAAAGTTGACAAATACGATTTCCTCGTTTGCATTAGTTCCTTCATTGGAGTTGTCTTTGGTAGCGTTGAAGTTGGCCTAATAGTCGCGGTAAGTAGCATACATTTTTAATAGGATTTAAAAATCTTTCTGCGCACTCAGCTTAATTTAATTTTTATGATAACTATGTTTTCGTGTGTGATTCAGGTGGCAATGTCTTTACTTAGGATACTTCTCTTTGTAGCAAGGCCAAAGACATTTGTCTTAGGTAAAATACCAAACTCCATGACCTATAGAAACACTGAACAATATTCAGCAGCAAGCAGTGTTCCTGGAATTCTCATCATACACATTGATGCCCCAATCTATTTTGCAAATGCAAGTTATTTGAGGGAAAGGTAACTACAACACCCACATTTTCATCTCAATTTAGTGATTGATGACTTCAACACAATAGTTAGTCACTTTTATATCGATGGGTTCTTGAAATATCTTAGGATTTCAAGATGGATAGATGAAGAAGAAGAGAAGCAAAGGACTTTATCTGAGATTGAGCTGCAATATGTCATATTGGATATGAGTGGTAAGTGTTAATTCAAGATAAAAAAAACTTCGGGTTTTTTTTTCTTTTTTAATAGTTAATGTTTTACTGCTGACATCAATCCTCTTAAATGCAGCTGTTGGAAACATCGATACAAGTGGAATTAGTATGCTTGAGGAAGTGAAGAGAAATGCAGATAGGCGATGTCTAAAGGTACAAATATCTGACAAATTATTAGTAGTGAAACATCATATTACCATTTATAGTTGTCTCTACGGGAACAGTTCAGTGATTAATAAACCACAACTCGAACTTTAGTATCACGAGCTTGAATTCAGTGACATCTTGTCCACTACTACCCAGTTGATTTTCCTTTTTCTTTTCTTTTTTTATTCAATTGTTCAATTTGTAGCTTTTATTGGCAAATCCTGGAGGGGAAGTGATGAAGAAGCTGGATAAGTCAAATTTCATTGACACAATTGGGAAGGAATGGATCTATTTAACAGTTGGGGAGGCTGTTAATGCATGCAATTATATTCTTCACACTTGCAAGTTTCAATCCAAGAGAATTGAATCTTCAACAATCCCAGACGATAACGTATGATCATAAATCAGATCAATGATCCAATTAAAATAATCAAAATGTATTAGTATTCCTTTTTCTCTTTACAGTTTCACCAAGTGAAACATCTTAGAGCTAGTTTCTTACCCTTTTACAATTTTGTAAAATTCATATATCCGTGCTAAGTTATTGAAAATTGCTATAATGTTTCACACCTCTACTATTTTATTCTCTTCTCCAACAGAAAAATTGCGCAAGTTCTTGCAGCTCCACAAAAATAAGTTTCTGAAGGACATAGAAACTTGCCAGTCTAGAAATGCATAGTTTCTGAAGGACATAGAAATGCTATCGGGAACTGTCCATGTAATGTTATTTATCAGAAGAGGAACCTAGAAGCAGAATGAACTATACATACAATTCTATAGTGTAGGGTTGTGTAAAAGGAATTAAAAATAGTTACCAATAATAAGCCTAAAAAAATTCCAGTTAAAGAGGAAAAAGGAAATATACAGAGCTGAACCAAAATATCCAACTTGTGACATTGGAAAATACATCCAAGAAAGAGCAAGTTCAGAAGTGGCAGGATAACAGTAATGAACATTCTGAGAAACCAAGATAAGGTAACAACACCAACATTACTTCTAGCCAGGCAAATATACAAGAGTCTCATTTCGAAAACGTTTGGAAAAAAATTACTTTTAAGAGTATTAACCAAAACTCACTGCTGCACAAAACAGCCAAACAATGTGAAAGTGAAATCAGAATAAACGAAGCATGCAACACTAGGAAATTCTAATCTACTATAAGAAATCTTCAAAAATAATTGATATCTTGACAGCTGACAAAACCCTCACCAATTGGAACTCCGGAGCACTCTGACAGCTTGCCCGTATTGCCCCCGTCAAAGGAGAATAGACCCCACTGCAAGGAAACTTAAAATCAGGTGATGGCTTCTCCTCAACGATAATAAGCCCATTTCTCCCATGTAAGATTTCCCAAAAAGCTGACCCAAAAAATGGAACTGCAATAGCCTCGACTATATTTGCTTGAATATACGAGGAAGAAGTTCATGTGCGCTAATATCCAAAGGCACTGGATCCCTGAAGATGATTGAAGATCAAGTTTAGGAGCTAACTCAAGGTTGTATGCCTCAACTTGAAAATACATTCCGTAGAATAACAAACATATGCACACACTTAAAACTATAGATAAGAAGCTCTATTTGCTTGACTAGCATGATTATCCAAAAAGATCTCATTGTTCCAATAGATATCAATTTATACATTAACTAAAAGAAGTTGCTAAACTTTTACGTATTTTTCCAAGTTTTGCTTATTCCTAGGATACTAGGAAAAGTTCAGATGGATGGCTGCCCAAATCATGAAAGATAAGAGTTATCCTGAAATGTTCACAGGCTTCACAGGCCAAAGGAATTCCAGAAATGCACATTCAGTTGAATTGCTATTTTGTTGTCTCAATGAATATCACATCTCAAGAGGTTCGCACATACTTGATGTACAGGACTGTATGACTTGTAAGCTATTACCCTTTTTAGCACTTGATAAGTTGGTGCTTACATATGCTATGAAAAGAATAACCGTGTTTGTGATGTATTTTATTAAAGATAGAATGAGGTGCATGCATGCTTGTGACTGAGACATCCACTTTTTATGTATGTATTCTTGAGCTTTGGCTAAGAGAAAGGGAAACATACCTGCATAAGATTTTTCCTTTCTCAGTGGAGCTAGGGATAAACCACAACTTCCGTACTAAAGGTGATTCAAATTGGACAAAAAATCCATCATTTTGTCCATGCTTCCATTTCCTCGAACCTTGACCTTTCCAAACCTGTAAGATCACACATTGAAATCATGATTCATGAAAGAAGAGATCAATTGCAATAACTGCTGATAAAAACAATACTACATGAATTCAATGTTGCCTCTGGTTCGCATCAGACACTAACTTGAAACTAAATCATCATCTGTCAGGATCACCTTTAACTCACTCTCCAAGATATACAAGTCAACTTCATTCTGTTTTCAAATTCCTTTGGCCTGTGTTTGTCTGAACCAGACTAAAGATGCTAATAGAACAAAGCACACATTAAAGACGAAGCTACGAAGGTCAGTACATTTGTATTTGAAATTCAAGCTTTCTGCTCTAGGTTTTTAGTAGTAGAATGGAAGCATAGAACCAACATCCAATATTCATCAATAATCTTTGAGATTAAAGCATAGAGCAAACCCGAAGCAGTTGACACAATTACAGTCACTAACAGATTATTTCTTTACCTGACAAGGCTTCTAACAGAACTTATACGCAGAACTAGGATGCTTCTTGTAATAAAGATCAAATATTGGTTAATTCGAATAAGCTTATAACCAATTTATGCCTTTCAGTGTGTGAATCCATAAGAAAAAAGCCATTTTTAAGAGGGTTATCCATGTTCTTACAAGCAATTGCCTCTTTCAAGAGAGCATTCAGTGATTAAATTTACCTGTGGGTAAGATATGATACTTTTCGGTGTCACTAAACATGAAGCTTGAGAGAAAGAATCTTCAGCATACTGTCGAAGAAATGGAAAACAACTGCTGTGCATATGGGGTGACTCAAAAGCCTGGCACATGAGATAAAAGTACACAATTAGATAGTATAAGCTCGATTCCAACTGCAACTGACAATGTAACCTACAACTGACAAACTGAATTCAGAAATATCAGAGGAAGGCCGAAATTGTTGGAAAAATATCCATGAGGAGAACTTTTCAATCAGTAAGAATATGAAGTACCTTGTCTATATTAACAGCTGGGGCATACTTCTCCGTGTCAGTCTTCTCCTTGTTCAGAAGGAAATAAACTCTAGGATCCACTTTTGAAGTTTCATGCCATGATTTAACAGCATTCTCTACTGTTTCAACAAGGAAAGAGAAAATCTCTTTGCTGCCATCTTCAGCTCTATATTTCTCAGACTGCAAAAGGAGAATCAAACTTAGTACATCTCATGCGGAAACTTCGTGAGAAAAACATTTTCCAGAAATTCGATTTAGGGTTGTATCACACAGCTGCTGATGCAACAAGTTCCTTACCTGCATGAGGAGAATAGATTTTATGTCAACGCTTGCATGAACTAAAAATACCATATGACCAAAACCATATTTATAAAAGTGCACCAGCAATCAAAGAGACTGGAAAACACATCAGAGCTCCAATTGACATTCTGAAACAGATATGTCTCTAGAAATAGATGCAGAAGACCACTAACCAGTTCAGATTTCAATGTATCAAAATGTTTTGCCATGTCAACATTGGATCTCATGTTCTCCAGTTCTTCAGCTCGCTTCATATCTTTTGCCAACTGCGAAAGTGTCTTTATCTTCTTGGATACTTCCAAACTTTGTGGATTGTATTTTGATGCCAGCTGGAAAGCAGCTAAGGCCTGCATCATGATAATAAACATAAAGACTGGAACATGAAAGTTCTCCGATTAAGAGGAAAAATATTATACATACATCATCATAGCGTTCCATAGCCTCTAGTATACATCCTTTCCTGAAATAACCCTACAAGTGCAATCAAGTCATTTTATTACGAGAAAAACTTCGCTAGATAACAAGTTCACATTTTTTTCTGCTCGTGGTGTATGATCTTTTTTTCTTATTACAGGGTGTTCGTGAAAGATTTCCAATTCTGGAAGTATACCTTTTCCCACTCTGGTTTCAGACTGATCGTCATTTCGGCATCAGCAAGTGCTTTGCTAAGTTTAACCAGATGCAAAAATGCTGCAGCACGATTGCTATACATAGTTGAATTAAGTGAAAAACATATCAGGAACATAAGTCAGTTTCACAAAGTCGACATAATGAAAGAATTAGAAAGCAAATTCTGACCACAACAAACAATCACAAAGACGCATTAAAAGGAAGTCATCCAATGAACAAGTTTTAGATAGAATTATGATTTTCACTTAGGGCTCGTTTGGTTGGAGTCATTGGAAAAATAATTACAACATAAAATTATACCATGTTTGATTACAGGGGATTAGAAAAAATAATCCTTGCATAATGTATGCAGTGTTTGGTTTGTCGTATAAGAAAAACTAATATCTACATAGTTTTATGTAGTGTTTGGTTGACGGTATTAATTATAATACTTGCATTAAGTTATACCATAATCTATGTCATATTTTGTGCGGGATAAAATGTGAAATAAGCATACATGTATTAACATAAACAATTCTTGTATGACAATCCCGTCATTATTCTTCATCATAAAACAACTAATCCCTTCATTATCAATCACCTCATAACGATCCGAGCATTAAAATCGTCGCACAACTAGCAAGTGAATCAAACAATCCCTTGATAGCAATTACAACCCTTCCACCTTTAGCACTTTATTAATTAAATGTTAGTAGAGGTATAAATGTTTGATGGGGAAAATATTATGCTCATACAAAATTCTTACTTAGTAAGGTAAGAATACGTAGAGGGAAGACGGAAAAGAATCTGAAACACAATAACCTAGCAGAAGATTAAGAATTGCTGGTGACTAATCTAGCATTCTCTATATAAACTTCCACCCTAATTAGGACTTAGCTTTTTTACATAAGGAATTAGGACTTGGTTTTTATAATCTATTAGAGAACCTTCATCATGATATATGAAGGAGCTAAACAAGAAGAGGTAATCCTAAAATTCACCTGGAAGGAAGTTCCTCAATGGACCTAAAATCTTTCATAAGCCCTGAGAAGTTAGCTATTAACTTAGCTAAGAATGTAACAAAATAGAAAGAAAAACCATACTGGTGAGATAAGCTAGTCGAAATTAAGGCTTAGCTGTTTTACACTTAACACTACATATAGTGTTTGCTAGGAATTCTTTTAGACTGGTTACACTTGTATGTCAATGTAGGAATAAGTGGTAGACTCGTTCTGATTTACAGTGTTCTTGATGCTCTACCCACAGCCCACTTACACTATGGCCCTTTGTCCCCTGCCTGTCTCTATCTCTAAGAAACTGGACAAAAGGGAACAAAGAAAGTAAGGCTTTTCACCTGGTCAAATGGAGCACGTCATCCTTAGCAAAAAAGCAGGGGGGGGGGGGCTTGGTGTCAGAGATTTGAAGGCACACAATAGAATCTTGTTGTGTAAATGGTTATGGAGGCTAATGCTGAAGAAGGGGCTCTCTGGAAAATTGCTATCAGTTCCAAATATGGTATGACTAATCC